TAGTGCTTCGGAAGACTTCGACTGCGTGCTTTAAGGGGAAATGCTGAGAAAGAAACCTTGCTTTGTGAATCTTTCACTTTTTTGCACGTCATCAGGAGTGAACTTTTCGGCTCCTTTGAAATACTTACGCAGATCCGGATAATGACCGAACATGCTGAAATTGTAGATGACTTGAACGGAGCGTGGCGATTATCATTCAACATTCATTTCTGTCCAATTGCTTTCACGCTCCAAACAGACTCAATGTAGTGACTAAAGCAATAACTTTAGCAGGATTGTTGAGTATAAGCAAAGTGTCATGATTGACAAAAAAGTCGTTGCACTAAATGTTTGATGATTTGGTTGCATAGTTCATGTTACGTACTACTTATAGAAGTCCCTGCCATGCTGAATAGAGTCAGGATCCTTGCCGACTCGTGCCTTTTCCAGTGATTTCATGCATAGTGCTTTCACTTCGTCGACCGTCATTTTCGAGGCTTCTGAAATAATAAACTAGTAAGTGAGGATAAAAATCATCAAAGTTTAGTTAAAATCGAGCTGATGCAATCTGTTCGAGCAGGATTTATTGTCGAACAAACGATGTCGCTAGTAGCCCAGATAATGCAAATGTGTTGTGCGCAGTGGCGACATTTTTGAATTTGATTACGTCGAAAAGTGTGCCACTGCAGCCGAGACAACCGAGCCTCGAAGAATGTCGAGTAGTAGAGTGATCCCGACTAACACCGGAACATAAATGGTAATAGTGGCTTTCGAAAAGGGTGGTACACATCAATTAATAATTAATATTTGAATATGTCGTGATAATCGTAAATGAAGTTTACACGATTGTAACCATGGAGATCGATTATGAACGAGTAAGTCTAGACAACAATGAGAAATCGTCTTTCAATAGGTAGACAGGAAAATTTTTCATGGTGAATACAAATTGGCTCATTTATACGATTAATACGTACTCTTATAAACACATTGCGCTTCTCACCGAAAAATCTGAAAAAGAATGAGAAATCGCCTTTCAATACGTAGACAGGAAAATTTTTCGAGGTGAATACAAATTGACTCATTTATACGATTAATACGTACTCTTATAAACACATTGCGCTTCTCACCGAAAAACCTGTAGACTAAATGAACAGAATTGGATCACAATTTTCAAAACTTACAACTAAGGTAGATTTGCGGATTGACAGAAGGTCATTTGTTCATTGCCTTGTTTGTTCTGTTTGCACAGAAGAGGAGATAAAATGATAATTGATTATGTCTGAGGATTATTCACTGAGGAACTGAACATGAAATCCTACATGTGACATTCATTACTGCATTTCAGTTATCAAGTAAAGAAAAATCGAGAAGTAATCGACGAGTGTAAAAATAAGAAATTCTTCAGCTAATAGATTTAGACGGAGTGCACTACAATCTATTTATCAGTAACGACCAAGTAATCCAATCTTAAGAGTTCGAAAATTAACTAATTTACAGGTTGAAATTTTTGTTACATGAAAACACACGATCAATAATTATGATTGAAGTAGACGCAAAAAACATTACATCTTTAGACTTCAAACCATCTGATCATTCCACTGATTAAAAGAGAGAAAAATGTGTAAGGCGCCAGTCGTTGGGGAACAGGTGCTATTAAATGGTGTGTTGAATTCAGGAGCGTGATACTTTAATGTAAATGATATACAGCATCAACTTACTGAGTTCAGCGTAATAATCAGCTAAGTTGCTTTTCGAGTTGAACTGAATTGCTAGCTGGGCCAATAAACAGAATGCAACAGGTTCGATTCAGTGAAATACAAAATCTGAAAATCTAATCCGAATAAGGGGAACTCAAGCAACCATATGAGTTATACTATAGGCGTTTTTTTGCATAAGCATAAACTATTGACTGCGCAATTACTAACTTATCATAAGCAAAGAAGAATATGAATTCAATGAAAAACAAGGTCATGTGCCGAGTAACACGCTCCAGCAATGGATGTTTACGGCGTTGAGCACGTTCTACGAGCTGTGCCATGTTCCAGTTATACAGTCGACTTTGATATTGTCAACAACTTTGTCAACAAACTACGAGTAATCTTAAATTTAAAATGAACAAGAGTAGTTGTTGTGTAAGGTGTGTCGTTGGGGGGGATATTCGATAACAGCCACATTTAAAATTGAGCAAAGTCAAGGATGGCAATGCGAAGAATTGAATCACTTGAATCATTTGCGGTGAGCCGTCCAAGTATGAAAGTTGTTTCCATCTATGGCAGACATTTTGCATTATGACTTTTCAAAAACAGTTATGAGGTTTCACTAAACCAAATACAATCGCTGTTCCACAATGAATCTAATTATATGAAAACATTAAACACTTTGCATTTTTTTAAACAGACACTGTGGTTGTTATCGAATTAGACAAGTGAGTTTCGTCCTCATCTCATAAATTATAATTTCTAGTTTATAGTAAACCGGCACAAACAAATTCAGTCATATGATTTTATCAGCGTTTGAACTTCAAACATCACAGACCATGATGATATTCCATATTCAAATTATGAAAAGCTGGCAACTTGCTTTTGCTTGAAAATGAAACCCGAACGTTCAGAGTCCACTTAATGTCATGAATTATTGAAATTATGCAAAAATAATATCAGTTATTCATAGCTGGGCAGCTGAGCTGAATTTACAGTCAACAAATAATCTAGAACCCCCAGAAAATCAGCTGTCAATCCAAAACGAATATATATTTTCCCAACACTCGCTACAAGCAAAATTAAGGTTATTCATTTGCCATATCTGATTTTTAGTGCATATCAATCGCATTTGAACTAATTAACACGGTTTGCTACATGGAAGATCGATCAAAGCTTCAAAGTATCTATTGATTTCTCGATGCACGACAATAATTCTATGATATTGATGCTATCTACTTCGCTCACAAAAACGGTCCGCAATCGCCCTGGGTGTTTATTCAAAATTGTTAAGTCGAAATCAAACAGATAATAATTAACGCTGATTTACTATTAATGGTTGGATCATAGTAGTTCATAGTGATAACAGCTGATAATATTTTGCTGATAATAGTGGCTAATCTTGGGGCATTTGAATTTGCATCGTTCGAAAACAATATTTCCATAGGAAAACGGTGACAATTTGTTCGCATCGAATTCATCGAACATATTTTGATAATCGAAATTAAGCGAGTGGTTGTTTTGGGTGACGGCTGAGGCTGAGTGCTATCTGCAATTCGTCAGAGGAATTTGATCAGTTATCAGTGTCGCGCTTGGATAGGTGTCAGTGAATGGAAAACGATCAAGTGGAAGTTGACTTATTGGCTGAAGACGGTAAACTTGGTGCGATCACTGATGACTCACTCAGGGTTACAGCAATTCTTGCCGGAGGTGCTGCAGACGGGAAACTTTTTGTGAGTCATATTCATCACTCCAAATTCTTCATCATTACTTCTTTTCATGAGGCTCAAACGAATTGGGTGTGGACGAATAAAAATTTAGCATAAAGTATTCGTTTGTTGTGCTGCTCCCGGTGTTGTATTACTCATTCAGCTATGCCTGTGGGGAGTTATGCTTGAATATAATTTCTGCTAAAGTGCACCTTCCTCTACCCTTCTCATTTGTTAATAGTTGTGTTTAGAATGTTTTACGAGTGTCAGCGTTTGCTCGTGGGCAGCAGCATAGCCAGTAGGAGGGTCCTCCACATTTTCCAAAATTGAGGCCCAGCTTCCAGCTACAACTTCGCATTTTCCAAAGTTTCGGCTACGGTTCCAGTTTCAAAATCATCTTTGTTTCACTACGACCTCAGCTGCTGAGCAAATTGATCCAGCAAAAGGTTGTCATGCAGATCTCCGCATAGTTACTGAGTGCTGCTGAGATGTTCCTTCTGTAAGAGCTTCAAAAACATTTCTGGCTCACTGCTGCAACGTTTGTTATGATTGGTAAATGAAGTGTGAGTTCTGATGATGAATTACTATTGTTTCAGTTATGCCTATGTCACAGGGGTCTTTGAGGGCCACCTGTGGAGTCCTCGCGGTTTTTGAAAAAAGCTTCTCTGAGGCTGAAGACTGGTCCAAACTGCGAGCGTTGGACTACATTACTTTGATTGTAGTTTTCAATCAGTGTTTTTTGAATTACTATTTTGTTGCCGCCGATTGCTGACTGTAAAATTACAGTGTTGCTTGCATTTGATTACAGCCTGGTGATGTGATTTTAACGGTGAACGGTGAGCAAATTAAGTCTCGCGACCAACTAGAATCGCTAATGTTGTCACCGGATTCTGTAACCAAAATCAAACTTTCACGATCCAGTGCCGGCCCACAAGTGGATCCATTTGTAGATGTCGATAAAAATCAAATGGTACCTTCAGAGTTCGAGAATTTGGTTAGCTTTCAGCCCGTCGTTTCAACTCGCTGCAATTTTGCGATTCCGAAAGTAACAAATCATTCACATAGCCGAAAAGAAAGCAAAGGCATCAGACGTTTGAAAGTTGATGGGCATTCCAAAGTTCTCTCTTTGGCTCAGCTGTTTCAGGTGATGGAAAAAATTTGCTAGTCTCAAATTTTTGAATCGCTTGGTTAGTAGAACACGACAATCCTCGCGTCATCGTAGTGGACGAGACAAATTGAGCCACAACATAGTTCAAGCAGAATCGTACACTGCGATGTCAAATGCGATATTGCAGCGAATTTCAGGATATGATAATGAAATTGGGGAATCAGAAGAAACTTGGTCTATTCCTGCGGGACAACAATGACGGAGTGATTGTTTCACGAGTTGAGGCGGGAAGCCTCTCAGCTGAGATGCTTCAAGAAGCTGATCA